TGGGTTCGGGTTTTGACTCTTATTTTCATTGGAAAAATAGTTAAAAATTGCCTATTTCAATGTTAATTTTTACCTATAGGCAATAGTTAAAAATTACCTTTTGCCTAGAAATAGGCTATTTTTACCTATAGGTTATACATTGCCTATTTGGAGCCTTGGGGTATATATATATATATATATACCATCTTGGCTCAAGCTATTTTGGCCTTCCTTCGCCGTTGCTGGTTGTGGCGGGCGTGTCTTGAGCCTTTGGTTCGGCATGGCCCAGGCAGGTGAGGTGGCTCAGCAGCAGCGTCGGCCCAACCAGGACTACACGAGCGCCTAGCACTGGCCGCTGCGTTGTGCGCTCCTCTTCGGGGTTGCAGCAGCACACGCAGCAGGCCGCGTGTTCCCCACAGGAGCAGAGCTGCCGAGTCGAGCAGCGCTGCCGCTGCTGTGCGCTCCCCTTCGGGGTTGAAGCTGCGCGCAGCGGCCGCTGCGGTGCGCTCCCCTTCGGGGTTGAAGCTGCGCGCAGCGATGCCGCTGTTGCGCGCTCTCCTTCGGGGTTGAAGCTGCGCGCAGCGGCCCAAAGCGGCGCGCAGGCATCGTCGCAGTGCGCCCTACGCTCCCGTGCGGGGTCTGCAGCTGCACGCGCCGCGATGCTGGCGATTCCGCCGTGCGGGCCGGCCTGCATGGACGCGACCTGCATCCGCCGGTGCCCGCAAAAAGGATCGCCCGCTGCAGGGTCTTCGAAGTCCTCCAAAGCCCAAACCGTACCTAGGTAGAAACCCTGCAGCTTATATAAAACCCTCTAAAGCGTGACTAAAACCTTCTCTCTCTCTCTCTCTCTCTCTCTCTCTCTCTCTCTGTGGTAACTTGGAAGCAAACCGGTAAGTGCGAAGTTTCAGAAACCCAGCTTCTGCAAGTCCGGAGCTGAAATTTTCCCTGGAATCGCTGAAAAGAGAAATGTAGGCAGAATGTAGGATAATGTAGGATGGGATTTCCCAACCACACTCTGGACAATGTAGGCAGAATGTAGGATAGCCTTGTACCAATCTACAGCTCCGCTGTCTGGTACCAAAGCTTATGTAGTCGAATGTAGGATGGATGTAGGATGAATGTAGGATGGCCGCCGGCTGAATCCTCAAAATTCTGGTTTGTGCCAGCTCTAACTTCTGCCTGCCCCTCCTCCTTGGTGCGGTGTGTCGCTGCCATGGCAGCGCCTGAAGCAGTGGCCGCTGTGCTCTGCGTGAGCTGCAGACAGAAGCCTGCAGAGGCTTCGAAGGGCAAAGGCGAAGGCGACAGATTTAATTTGAGCGCCAGTCATGCCTTTCTCTTCGCATGCTGGTCTACGGGAACTTGGGTGCCGGGGCCTTGGAGGAGTTCACGCCGGAGCAGGAGCAAGACTTCTTTGCTCGCTCCAAGGAAACAACGAAAGGCGGTCGCTACAAGTGGCCCTGTGTGCGTGCGGTGCTTGTGACCAAGCACATAGAGCGAACTTTGACCTCTAACGAGGGCAAGGTGACCACCGCCTCCAAGCCGCAGTCGGTCTGGGAGAAAGAGGGCTACTCAGCCGAGACCTTGGCCAACTGCCCCAAGTGGACGTGCCCCGTACTGGGCGAACTTGGCAAGCTTCTCTTGTCGGGCCCCTTGTTCCGCCAGACTGCGCTGGATGCTGACAGTTTGAATCACTGGGGCGCGGCCCCTGCCGCGGATGCAAAGAAGGCCTCGTGGGACTTACGACAGAGATCGCAAGACGACACCCTCTGAGAGTCAGTGTCAAAGCCGGCGATGTTCTGCTTTTCGACACTGTGGGAGGGGTCGTGACACAATGTCTCGATGGTAAGCTAGCAGGGCCGTGGTTCTTAGCCAAACGGCTCAAGAACAAAATCTCTCGAGACTTTGGTTCGCTTTGGACGGCGACAGATGAAGATGCCTTGCTGCAGCCGTCGGTCAACCACAATCTCCTGCTCCCAGCTTTCTGGCAATTTGTTGGAGACAAAGTCCTGTGCCTGCACTGAAGGAAAAAGAAAGAACCAGCTGCAATACGTGAGTTTCAACACCACGAACCCTGCAAACTTTCACAATAATTTTTGTGGTTCACACACACCCAATGCGGATACAATAATACAGAAATCAAGCAAAGTCAAACTACTTAAGGGGAACTTAGGATGAACTTAAGGTTGGACTTCTTCAACTTAGGAAGGACTTGTATAAGTTCACCCGAAGTGCATTTTATATTGGATAAGCCAGTTACATATTCAACAAGTAAAAAAATCAATCTGGTATATTAGTTTAAGGTAAATCCCCAAACCCTAGACCCTAAACCCTAAACCCTAACCCATATTAGTTTAAGGTAAATCCCCAAACCCTAAACCAGTTTATTGTAGATCCCAAAGTCCCAAGCCTTCGAACCTGGCAAAAGGCGAATCACGCCGAGCTGCTCTTGGGTAGCGAAAGCTCTTCCGTCGTTCCGGGGGCGACTCGCTGGTGTTCATTTAGGATTTAGGGTTGAGGGTTTTAGGTTTGAGGGTTTGAGGGTTTAGGGTTTTAGGGTTCAGGGTTTCGTGGTTTAGGATTTAGAGTTCAGGCTTTAGGGTTTAGGGTTTGGGGTTTAGTGTTTAGGATGTTCGTCAAGCAAACTTTTCCTCAGGGCTTATAGGTTCGGTGTTTACCAGGGCTTGTCATTCATCGTGGGTTCTTAGGGCTCCGTGTTTAGGGTTGGCTTTCAGTGTTGTCTGTTCCCGAGTACGGGGAGTGTGGAGTCGATCATTTGAGTAGTTGTCAAAATTAGGGTCCCTTTTGGGGTACCCTAAATAATAGGTGCCGTATTATAATAAGGACCCAAAAAGGGACCATAATTTTGACAACCACCCATTTGAGTAGCTTTCCTTGTTTGTTTGTTTGTTTGTTTGTTTGTTTGTTTGTTTGTTTGTTTCCTTGCTTAACCCTAACCCCGCAGGTACCTACTATATAGGGTACTATAGCCCCTAGGGCCCTATATAGTAGGTACCTGGAGGGTTAGGGTAACACTGTATGATTGCACTCACGGCCCGAAGCGGAAATATGGAGGTCTGGACTTTTTTGAGCAGCATCGCCTTGGTAAGGAGCGCCAATAGGGGGTTAACTTTAGTGTTTGGGGTTCGTGCAACGGTGTACGGCCCTAAAACTTGAACCCAAAACCTACTGTTTTGTAGGGCCCCTATAGATCCCATATTAAGGTTTATAATAAGAACCTACAAAAAAGTGGGTTTTGGGTTCTTAAGGTAAACCTTGAACCCTAAACGCCCAGACCCAAGGCCCTCAAACCCCAAGCTCTGAAAACCTAGACCCTGAACCCCACAGGCTTAAACTCGAAGCGAGTAAACCCTAGATCCTGAAAACCTAAACCCTGAAGCCTACACCCTTAAGCCCGAAGCGCTTGAAGCCCTAAACCCTGAACCCCAAAACCCTTAGCCCTTAGACCCGAAACTCTGAAACCCTAAGCCCCTAAACACAAAGCCGTTCAGCCCTAGACTCTGAAACCCGAGACCCTTAAATCAATTTCGAAGAATCTGAAACCCTAAACCCTGAACGGCATTTTATAAAAAGATTCTGAAACCCTAAACCATCGAAAATATTTTATCAACAAATTTCTGAAACTCTAAACCCTTAATGACACTTCATAAAGAAATTCTGAAGCCTGAACCCTTAAATTTTAATTATAAGCACATTCAGAAGCTTGAAGCCCTTCAAAGACATAGCTACTCGAGGTGCCGGTGGAGCGGACGAGAGATGCCTGCAGCCTTACCGAGATGTCTTTGGTGCAGGTAGACTACGAGGCCTCCGGCCACCGGGGATACAAAAGTTTAGGGTTTAGGGTTTGGGAAGACAGTTTTGGGGTTTAAGGCTTCATGCTCTCCAGTAGGTGTAGGGTTGCAGGACTGCAGGGTTCTAGGGGTTTTCGGAATCACGAGCCGTTTCAGAGAGCACAACCCGGATACCCGAATCCCAACTCCGTAACCTACCGCAAAGGGACACTAAACGCAAGGGCCCAAACAGCCCGAACACCCGGAAAATGAGACCCCTAGCCGAAACCCTAAACCCTAAACCCTAAACCCTGAACCCTAAACCGTGTGAGACCCGTAGCCGAAGTCCTGAATCCTGAAATCCTTCAAGGCCCGTAAAAATACTATTGACGACGCTGAACTCTAAGCCTACGCCATAAAACCCTAAAGCTCTTACAGCTCTAACCCGAACCCTAAACCCTGAACCCCTAAACCCTAAACGCTGAACCCTGAACCCTAAACCCTGAACCCTGAACCCTGAACCCCGTACCCTAAACCCTGAACCCCAAACCTTAAAGCCCGGTGACGTGAGGCCTTGAAGGCCATCCTCATCCAGCTCTACGGCTCTAAGGCCGGTGATCCGGATTCTGCGTGGGCTTATAGGGTTTAGGATTTAGGGCGTAGGG